TAGGGCCTAATGCCTATGCAACTTCATGTACATTTGCCAATCAATAGTGCATATGTCTTTTGGGCTAATTTATGTCATATATGCAATTACATGTTTATGTACCAATGATCAGGTGCATATGCCATTTGATGTTTATAGACACAAGAATAAGGAGTCACCAACTCCATCGTGTTAATTTATTCAGTTGTCAAAAACAACATTATTGTACATATGCAGTGTCACAACTTCGCAAGTGAAAGACATAGCCTCAGAGTCTTAACAATAATTCACCAAAAAGCAGAAATAAGTGCATTTTGAAAAGATTTCGAATTAAAGTGAACAAATCACTTAACTAGGAAATTGGTCATACATTTGTTATGAATGTTCATCTGAAGGTAATTAACAGTAAATTCTTATACCTGCTGTAAATATTTTTTTTCATAGAACAGATAAAAAGACTGGCTTTTTATTGAATTGGGAAGTGGAGCAGCAATATAAGTAATACAAAGTTTTAAGACACTTATCTGATCAATGTTCATATTAATGTCTTCACTTGACTCAATGTTTCACAATTTTCAATGAACTTCACATGACCTTGCCCCAGAATCATGAAACAGACTTTGATTTAAGTCAAATTTTCAATCGCTTGAAGTAATTGAAAAATTAATAATTGATTTAAGGATATCCGATCCATGCAGCCAGGAAGGATAACTGCAAAAAATCAATACTTAATTTGAAATGCATCAAAATGAAGCTTGAAAATGATTTTTTTCATGCAACAATTTTCATTTTATTCACCTTTAGATTACAGGTTTTTGGAAGTCTTAGAAAAGGTCTTATAAAAGTTGACATTTGTGCCCTATAAAAGGAAAACAAAATAATACAGTTTTAGAGAAATAAGATTTTCTTGAATCCAGGCTTAGATACCAATGCTTATTAGCATGATATGAAATACGAACTGATTTGTGGTGTCTTGCAATGATAGCAAAAGCCTTTTACACTATGTCATATAGAATATATGACGGAAATAGAAGACAAAAAATGCCAAATAAGTGTAAAAATCATGACAATTTCTCAGAATGCCTGGATACCTATAGTTTTTAAACCTAAAATATATTTGTTGATCAATTTGCAATTAGAAAATGCATTGCAGATATTCCAATTCGCTTTTTCTGCAAAAATATTGGAGATCTGGCAATTTTCCCTATATAATATGATTAACTTTAATCTTTAACTTTAAAGAAATACTGTGGACAAATTTACATAATTTTTTTGGATTCAGATATACCTTTATGAGTATTTTTGATTACCGATACTTAACTGTTAACTTTATGAACCTGAGGATCGGACTACCTAAATCTCAAACTTTGAAAATACCAATACTTTTTTGAATGAATATTGAAAAATATTTAAATTTTGATCTGCTTGAACACCAAAACATTTATTGATATTAATATTATATAAAGATTTTGACTTAAGTTTAAGACCTTTCATTATCCAGGTGTGAGGCTTTAGGATCATGAATCATCTTAAGATTAAGTCAAAATATTTAATGTTGTAAAAATATGTTGAAGAACTCAAACAGACCATAAATAATAAATTAACATCTTTTACAGGCATTAGAAAAAAATGACTTAAGTCTGTTTCATGATGGCCTGGCCTAATACAATTTTATGACATCCTGGTCACATTTATTTTTCAATGAAGTTCACCACATCTGATCTCCTAAATCCTAAATTGCCATACATCTTCTAATCAGCACCTTTTTTCTAAGATTCAGATCTACCTTTCTATTTATTGCATCAACAGCTGGATCTTGAAAATTTCCACTGTCTATGATTCAAAACGCAACTCTCTGATTAATTATAGATATATAATATTATCTCTTAATTTTTAATGAAACTGACACCAGCACTTAATTGTTAATGCAGTGTACACATACTACAGTAAAACATGGTTATAGCAAACATACTTACAATGAAAAGATGCTTACAGCAAAGAAATCATAAGTATAGGTCTTTGGTGTTTAGACTTAGGTACAAGACTTTGTTTTGCTTTCTGTATACAGGTAATTCTATATAAAATTTTGCACACCTTTTTAACCTTTTGACAAAATATTATAAAATTCTCCCATTACATGCATACCCACGATACCTGTTAAACATTATTCAGTTTTCCAATTGAAATATAAGTCAATGAGAAATATTGCTGATTTCTGGAAATTTTTTTTTGGTATTTATCCTTAATAGAAAATACTAGAACATAATGAAATCATTTTCCTATATTTAAAGGTACACAACCACACAAAGCATGTCGGTATATACGGTCAATGGATCGGAACCTGGAACCCCGCCCCTGATTCCGAGGAAATTGCCGTCATTCTGGAAGACGACCTTACAGTGTCCAAACATTTCTACCGCTGGCTCAAAAATGTCCATAAGAAGTATGACAGCATGGACAGCTTGGCTGGTTATGCTTTACAAGGCCGCAGCATGAAGCATGGAGGAGCAGCAGGGAATCTCAGGGGACCAGATAAAGATGTCTGCTTTCTGTACCCAATTTTAGGTTTGTGCTGAAAATTCTGCAGAGTTTTTCAACATGTACAAAGTGTCTGCTTATTTCTTTATAGTTTGGTAAAAAACTACCCATTTAATTACTGTATTTTAATCACTTGCCTACTCGTACCCTTTTTAAGAAATATTCGAAGAACAAGAAATTTTTTGGATATGGCCTAACATGATTAAATGTTAGACTCGCATAAAGCTTATGGTTGTCTTTACTTTATCCTTGAAGCAGCATACCCCAGTATAAAATGTAGATTTCACAATATACTGTAAAATCACACATTTTAGGGGGGTCAATTTTTTTTAATGTTTGAGGAAACAATTTGGTACTTGATTTCGTGGTTGGGGATGTTTAGTTTTAATACATATTAAATTTAAGATTTTTGGTCATAAATTTGTTTGTCTCTCCATGCCCCGAAAACAACAAAAACCAACACCCCATGAAAAGTAATATCACAATCTATGATATATAGTTTAGATTTTAAAGTAAAGGTTTTGGACTATTTTACAGGAACCTGGGGTTACTCCCCTCACCGTAAGAACTGGTTTAACTTTGTGGAGTGGTACAGGAAAAAGTCCACGGACCCCTCATTCCAACCCTTAGTCCCAGGGATTCTACCCACCCAGTGGTGGAAGGTGTTCCAACAGAGAGGTATGTTATACAGCAAAACACACCTATAATGAGGTGCCAGGGATGACTTGTTTTGCTTCATTAAAATAAGAATAATTTTGGTGTCTGCTAAGTTTACAATGTACAGTGAAACCTGTCTTATCTGACAGGATCTGAGAGATGAAGTCTTGTGTTGGAATAGACATGATGTCGGATTGCACAGTGTAAAAAAGTGGAGAATTATTTGATTGTAAATATTTTACCATTGAAAGATTAAGGGGAGAAAACTCTCTTTTAATTTCTTTATAAATTGAATTAAAAGTAGCTTTTATTATGGTACCTATTTTCATCTGACCATATCAAAATAATAATGAATGCTTACTAGGTGAAATTAATTGTCAAGAAAAATTTTGTTTTTATTTCATAGAGATATGTAGTAGAATCAATGGATTTGCTGTTTATGGAAAATATGGCTTTCAATATGTTCATTTTGGAGGGGGGAATGTAATATAAAAATCTCTATTATAAAATGATTTAAAGTATACCGTATAAGTGGAAATTTTAGCGTGACGCAAATTTAGCGATTTCTACCTAAGAACTAGTATTTTATTTTTAGCGAAAAAGTAATTTTAGCGATTTTAAAAGGACATCTTAAGAATCTATTACAAATAATACCAAATTATTTTTTTTTTATTTTTTTTTTTTTACAAATACCCGTATTTAAAAAAAATATGAATCATGTCATTTCTTTATGTAATTTGCAGCTTTGTTCAATTTTGGAATTGTACTAATGAGATTTTTTTATCTTGAAACATAAGAGAAGTATTTATGCTTAAGGTTCATAAACCCTCTGCTTACTCATATAAAATGTTTCTTTAACTTTTATCATTTTCCAAAAGAAAAGTATATGCTAAGTAAAATAAAAACAATTTTATCATAGCTTGCGGGGCAAACAAAATAGGCACTTCAACTTGACAAATTTATAAAGGAATAATAGACATTTGTGTCTTTAAGAGTTATCTCTCTTATCAGAGTATCAATGTACCTTAAAAGTTATTTAGAACAAAATGCTTGGATCAGACCAAACGAGGATCTTTAAACATGGTATCAAGTGCTAAAAGGAGCCATGGATCTTTCATCTCTCATAAATATTAAACTGAAAACTTTAACCTTTTTTAAAGGTAAAACAGATGGAATGTGGAGCATGTGGCATATATACCATGCCTGGAACAACAAGTTATGGACATTGTACCCAAATCTGAGAAATTCTCAGGGCCTCACTATTAACTGGAAGGAAGCCGGACTACACTACAATCAAAAACAGACAGCAGATGACAAAACAACTGATCCTATTCTACAGGACTGGATTAAAGAATATGATTTTCTACCAGGAGCACCAGCTAAACTGGATGTTAATGGCAAAATATTACATTTCAAAGTTCAGTAGAATTCTTTAAGAAAATGAAGAAAATATAACTCAAAAGAAGATAAGAAAGATATTTGTTATCTTCAGTGCATTTAAAAAAAAGCAAGGATGAGAGTGACTTATTCATGGGGATTTGCCAGCCAAGTCTAAAAATTGTATCCTTTGGGCCCTACTTGGTTCTGGAAATTTGTTATCAAAACATGATGAGGCAGCTTTTTACATTGTACAAAACCTCAAAAAATGATGAGGGAGGTGATTTGGTGTTTATATTTTATTGATTTAGCAATAAAAAGGGTCAATGAGGCACCCTTGGCAGAGATGAGGGAGGGCCTGAGAACCAAAAAATTATTTTTTTTTTGCCTTGGTGGAAATTTGTTATCCAATTGTTCATTCAATTAAACCTGTACGTATTCAGCGCATTTTCTTTCCCTTTGTAATCTTTCTGCTGGTTCAATATGCTTTTTCTAAGGTGTATATCAATGAGTTCCAGATATTTATTGAGTATTATAGGCCACAGGCATAAAATATAATAATATTTTACAATGCTTGTTTTACAATTGACATGTATGCTTATCTACATTAACATATACATGTACACATATCTTTTTGTTGTGATAATAAATCTTTATTTTTAAAACATTATGAGATTGAAGTTTTTGCTGTGCAATTTTTGAATGGAATAATACATTTACATATATTTTTCTTGCCATGTTTATTAAAGTGTTTTTATCCACATTCCAGAAAAGTTTTGTTATAGTTAGTTATTTATGGAGAAAAAATGTACTTTTTTACCCTTCTGTGCCATTTTGCATGTTTATCACTGTAACATTGAAAAAAAAAACCTTTGTCAAACGTTTTTCTGTAGATGTTGAAATAATTTTTTGTTTATTGTGTTTAACTTTACATATATTTTCATATTTTTATAGGTCAAAGTAAGTTCATTGTATACCCCAGGTGTCGGTGTTTGCGTGAACATGGGCATTCAAGTTAAAGTTTTAGGAGCAAGAAAATATCCAAGTTACTTTAAGTCTAACCTAGACCAAACTTGCATGGATAATGCATCCAGAAATGGACACTACCACATTTGCTTTGGATTCTTGATCTGACTTATTAATTCCAAATGAGTAACCAGGTTTAAGTTTTTGGAGCAGGTTACTTCCCAAGTAACTATAAGTCTTACCACAACAAACTTACATATACACAGCGGGTGTGACTGGTCGGCATGGAATGCTCACTCCTCCATGACACTGGATCCCACCTCTGATGTTTTGGAGGTCCTTGTTTGCTCTGCTGCTATTTTGTAATGGACTTTTGAAATTGAATACTGTTCGTTATCTCCGCATATTTAACTAGCTCCAGATGAGTGACCAGGTTTAAGGTTTTGGAGCATGTCAATTCCCAAGTAACTATAAGCCCTACCTTAACCAAACTTACATCCAGGGATGCACAATTCAAACCTGTTGCAGATCTTGAGCCCGATCTTAACTTTTCACATGAGTGCATTCTATCCGTACTTTTACAAAATTAGCATTGATCATCTATGAAACAACACTACCAGACTTGTTTGGATTCTGAATGTGACCTATATTTTTCTAGCTGAGTGAGAACGTGAATGTTATTGAAGGAGCTCTATAATTTCATGTCCTATTATGATCAATCTTGCACAGAGGATGCGTGTAAGGTTTCAAACTTCCAGACTAGCTTTGGATGTAAGAACAAAAAAAAAAATACCTTTTCTTGATTAGGAAAGACGTTAAAGTTTTCTGAGCAAGTTTATTCCAAACTATCTTCATGAATAAGTCGTACTTAAACCAAACTTGTAATAATTGACCGTGGGGTGTACACTTACTAGGAAAAATATGATGTGAGATTTGCCTTTCTTATTGGAAGCAAATGTTGAAATGAGATTTGTATTTTTTTCCCTGTTCTTTTTTTCTTAAAAATAATGAAGATATTCAAACGAATGTTCTATTATGTTTGTTAAAATTGATATTATAAAGTGGAAAATGAGCTTAATTTTGACTTTGTTACTTATAGTCCTGTCACAAGTTCGTGAAATCCGAATATTTAATTACTGAATATTATATTCATTTAAGGTCATGCGTTTACATGTAACTTATTTTTTTTAAAGGAGATTATTATTTTTTTTAAAAAATTAGAATAAAAGTTGTCTGCATTATACTGTTTTTTAAAGTACTTTCAACACATTAGACAAATAATGCAGTTGTTTGAGGATTATATTTTAGGATTTTTTTCATGATGAACTCATGATATGAAAAATGGAATTTCTACAGAATATAAGAATGTAATATTTTACATAATAAAAATTGAGTATTTCTGTTTGAAATATAAGTAATATGTCTACATGTATCTCATTTTTTTTTAGTATTTTGATGAAGAGAGATTATTTTTCTTATAATATTATTTTCTTGCAAGTCCTTTTTAAAAATATTTTTAATAATGTATTCAAGAGATTTTGCTTTCAGTTTATATTTTTGTTATTATACATAAACAAAAAATATTTTTGAATTGTATTTCCTAACAAACAGAAACCCTAATATGAACAAAATGCGAGATTTAGTCAAAAAAGTGTGTGTCACTGGATATAATACAAGAAATAATTATGTTAAGTGTTTTATTCTGTACCATTTTAGTAGACTTAAAATATATATATATTGATGATTTTTTAATATAAATTTATATTTGAATAAAATATACTCTTTGTATTGCAAAAGTTTTTAAAATTCTTGTTTTTGGTTATTTACTGGTGTTGTTTACAAAATAGTGAAACATACCTGCCTACGTATAGCATCTCTTGACGGAGATTTTGATCTAAAAACTCTGAGGCTAAGAGAGCAGACATTTTTGGAGCATAAAAGAAAGTTTCTGTCACAAAAAAGAACTGTGGAGATAATGAAGAGTATTCGAGCTCAAAAGTCCATTAAACATTAAAAAATAGGAGCGGAACGAATTCAGACCTTTAAAACATCAGAGGTAGGATCAAGTGCCATGGAGGAGTGAGCATCCCATGCCGAACGGTCACACCTGCCGTGTGCTTCTTCTCACGATCGAAAAATAACGGGAAAAATACGAAAACCCTTACAGCAACAAAGCTCAGATGCCGTGGAAAAGTCACTATATGTTGATGCAAGATTTATACACATTATATGAAATAAAAACACAAGGTATATTTTATTTAATGAAAATACAAGTATCAGTATTACAAAAATAACGAGTACATTAACATAGGTCGCTTTTGAAGGCTTGGACACTTGAATTTTCAATGAAAAATATGTTGAACACATGTGTGCAATACTGAGTAACTAAAGACAAAAAGATTTTGTTAAAAGTTTTTTTTTAAAGAATTGTAACATTTAAGCTTAAACTACACGTACACGAAAGAAAACTGGGTTTTCATGAAGATATTAAGAGAAATATTTTCATTTATAAAGTTCTGATGTTAATAGGATTATTTATCGGAATACATGCATGTCTTTCTGATACTAAGTAATTGAATGATATGAAAAAAATTAACTTTTTTAAGGCTGAATATTTGATCAAACAATATCAATTCATTTAAAATAACCCTTGTAAATACATGTATATGAATAATACTTGCTAGCTTAATTACATTTTTTGGCTAGGTGCAGAACTATAGCTTTCCAAATAAATGGCGAATTGGAAGGCTACGGGTTCATCCCAGTAAAGGATATAAAAATTTGTTCCGTTTTCATTTCTCTAAATTCTTACAGCTATCCTCTAGAAAGAGGTTAATAAAAATCTTAGAAATCTTATCTCTCTCGTACTTGATATTTGCTAAAATGCTTCGAACCAAGATCTTTTAACATCTAAAATTGCATTTGAGATAATTCCAATTTCCCGGCCCATGAGGGCTATAAAAATAAAGAACTCGACCCACAAAGTGTCTCATATGGCCTAGCAAATATGAAAAATTTTAAGAGGGCTATAGAATAATTATTTCTGGTGAATCTTACCTTAGACCATTGATACAGTTTACAGGTGCAACATTTCTGTCGAAACCGGATTGTTGGGATATCAAACTAAAATCTAAACCTAACAATGGTTCGAAGTTTTCCGGGAAAATGCCGAAATTAGGACAGTTAATCGTGATTTACACATAGAGCACATTCGTTACGGCAAAATATTAAACCAGAAAAATAACAATCACTATGCGAGAAATATTTTCCAATGAAAATATTTACCCGTAACGTGTGCGCCCCTATTGAAAAACGAAGAAATCATTGTCTGTGAAAGAGCTATGACTACAAACCATCATACATATCAATGTGTTTTACACAAATTTAATGCATCGAACAAGGGGCTATTATATTGATAAGAGTAAAAGAACAACAGATTTCTATCCCACATGTTTCAGACGATAATTAATAGTGGAAAAAAAATCTGAAATCAAATTCAAAAAAAAATTATACTATGATCATGTACACATAAATGTGACGTTACTCATTTATTATACGTCATTTGTGACGTCATAAAAGATGTAAAGTGAGGTTTCACTTTTTTATTTAAAAAAAAATGCTAATGCTTTTATGGACGTATTGGATAGCTTGTTGTCATTTATAAAATGCCCTTTTGAAAAAAAAGAAGAAGAAATAAGTAAAATTCTTGAAAAAAAAATCATTAAAAAAATTTAAACATTTGGGTTTTCTGTAAACTGGATCCAAAATAGAACTCATGTGAGGATGCGTATAACACACGATATGTTTTTGACGAATCCCCTTATCGAACTGTATGTAATATGAATTTGTATAAAACGCGCAGTTACTGTATCATCCTTTTCAAACGAAAGATACTGTTCTGGGCTTCTTATTTAAAAAAAGTATAATTATATTTGATATATCTTTTATTTACGTCGAAAGTATAAATCTTGATACACTCACTGTCGTTTATGCGACATACTTTAAATATATATCCAGAATCAAAATGCATAATTTATTCTAATTTTAATACATTTTTCTATATGTCACTATAGTATTTACTAGAAATATTAAGGTACGGATCATGGCATCGCTTTCCCCCTATAGCTAGAGACGGGGCTTGGAGTCAAGAAATAAAATT